TTTTTTTTAGCGAGCAATGGATGTGCCTTTTTTCTAATTAAGGTGGATCTCCACTGTCTGGTAACTTTTATGTGCGTGCGCACGTAAATTTTATGCGCGTAAACAAAATAGAGGCAATACAGGCGTACAGGTAAAAGTTGAAGACCTAGCTTGCTCAAAGTTTGATTATGCGACAGTGGAAATCCACCTTAAGGCAGTGCTTTAACGTGCGTATTAGACAAGAGAAGATTGTACTTCGTGTGTTAGAGTCTGACAAGAGAGGATAAAGGCGACAGAGAAGGCATCCCCCATACACACCCTATTACATAGGTAATTCGTCTCGAGTTATTTTTAGGACCATAGATCCCAAGGGGGATAAGACAAATGCCAATCACATAGCGCGAATGTGTTCCGCGTGGATGACCAACGCTCAGAGCCAAGCGTCCTTCACGAATTGACGCAGAAAAAAATGGCGGAAGACGTGGAGAGCGATATTGCTATTTGTTTTGTCGACGAAAACGAATAAAGAGAGATTTCTGCTAAAGCTGTGTCAGCGAAACGGAAATTTAAAAAGAATCGCCCTTCCTCTCTTGTATAGAGCCAACGGTACAGCAGGGAAATCCTTAACACACTGAATATTCTCTCAGAATTATTTATAATTTACAGTTTGAAGAGAGCAATTTCTGGTTTGATATTTATTCTTTTATTAGCCTTTTATTGTTCAACAAAAATAACACTTGGCGTCCTACTTGCTTTATTATACAAACGACCAGTTTCAAAAGACCGGCAAAATTTCTCATTTTATTAAAGCACTGAGGTTACGACAACTTCGAGTTAAACTGATTTCACGGATTGTCAATGAGTCCAGCGATTCCCTTTTCCCAGGTGAGCGCCGACTCATTTCGCTTCAATATTCAGAAATGCTCTCGATCTCTTTACGCTTTCATTGCCTTTCGCCCGACATGTTTTGCACGGCGTTTAGTCATGCGAAACCTCCACGAAACATCCACGCAGCGCGCGAGGTAACTTTATCCCGATTCTAAAAATAACTAGAGACGAATTACCTATGGAATAGGGTGTATATGGGGGATGCCTTCTCTGTCCCCTTTATCCCCTCTTGAGTCTGATTATCATCTTTCACACCAATCGGATACAGCTGGCCATTAAAGGTCCTTACAAAGATATAACCGGAAGTATTCGGAAACGATTATGGTATAGATGGCCTGTTCTTTTCAACTAATCTAAATCCGGAATTCTCCGATCATAATTTCGTTTTTCTTTCCTGTTTAGGTGGAAGCTTATCTTAGGGCCATTTCCATTCTAGTCAGAGTTGGCCCGCCAGACCAGCCCATTGCTAAAAAAACATACCGCCTTTAATCAGATCTCTCCTAGCCTGCGAGTACAGCCATGTCTCCTCACTCCTCGCCGCTAGGAGCGTTTCGCAAGAGAGACGTCTGCGCCTGAGCGACAGAAATTCAATTCTGATGACGTAAATAAATGTTTTCATAATTAATCCGGTAGTTCCGCGGTTCGAAATATATAAATTTGTTCGATTTTATCAGTTTCTCCTGGTCGATTTAATTATGGTAAAGTTTTATGTTCTTCTTCGCATAAGCTCCAGCAAAACTCAAATGTTTCTTCTAAAAAAGCCGGACATATTCCAAGAATATAGAATATTTTGTAGTAGATTCATCGCGTTTGCATTCGCCCTTTCCCTTTGTTTTTTGTCCTCATTCGTATAGAACAGCTAAGTAAAGACAATGTAACTACTTTCCGACGACCACTTAGAGCTCCTGACCAGATTCCGCCGGACAGATTTAACGTCATCAATATGGAATTTCTGTCGCTGATGCGCAAACGTCTTTCCTGTGAAAAGTCCCGAGCGATCAGGAGTAAGGAGAAACGGCTGTATTCGCATGCTAGGTCTACTCAGCCTAGCCTCCCTCCCCACAAACGCCGTTTGTGGGGAGGGAAGAAATACGAGCTCCCCTAAAAACGCCTGCGTGGGAGGCTATGCTCAGCCAGATTGCTATTTTTTAAGTTCTGTGCACAGTATCTCTGGGTTTCTAGTGAAACTCTCGAAAAATGCCCAAAATCTTTCTGGTGGGCCAGTTCTGACTGTATTGGAAAATTCAAAAGAATCCGATTCTGAAGCTCATTCAGACTGAATTTAGCTTCGGACCGTTTTTCACTCGCACTTTTTAAAGGCGAATTACTTAAGCTCCGCCGTTCAAAAGACCGGAAAATGGCAATAAAATCGCCGCTTAAATAGTTGCATGCGAAAACTGCACAAAAATCCCACAAAAATCCCCTGCAAAACGGGCCTTGACGGAACGTGTACATGTTTGTTCAAAACAAACCACAAGAAAACAGATATCCTTTCGTTGATGGTCATCTAACTATTGTTCTTTTGTTGCTTGTTTGATCCTGCTATCAAGAAAAAATCACCTAATAAAAACCTAACTGTCTTATTAGCACTCACTTACGGTAAAGTTGCATCTGCTTGTAGTCAAGCTAAAAAAACCTTGTCACAAGTAAATCACGTGCCGCAACATTCTTTACCACTTTAGCACGTAGACCGTTTTAAAAACACTTAAAATCTTACACTAACTACTACTATATGATATTTCTATCTACAAGGCTAACTACATATTTCTTAGCTGCAGCCACATGTGGTCAATTAACTGTTCTACGTCATTGACCTTTTCTCCGTACACTTTTTTTCTCGGCCTCTGTCTGAAACTTCCTTTTTATATTACCACCTCCAAACGATACCGACAACGATAAGGATACGTTATTCGACATATAATATGCATATATTTAATAGTAAAAATATTGCGCTGGAACCCAGTAAACCGTTTCTGTCGGTTGCGGTTGCCACGCAACTTGGTAGAACGGTCCTGGAGTTTGAACACTCGGCCAGTTGCCCGGCGCCGGCAACTGCGCAGTCGGCATTTGAGGTCCCTGTTGGATTAGACAAAAAATAATATTAACTAAAATACTCGAACTAGCACCCAGTGCTGTATACTTATATTCAGTAACGATGTGTGTTAAGGGTGGGCATAAAGGTATACTTGTCGGATCCAAGAAACGGAAACGAAAACGGAAGCAGACGCTATGTTCTCGTGCAAACCAGAACAACGGAACGGAAGTGAGGATTTCCCTTTTGGGCTATGTTTTTTGACTGCAGGCATGGAAACAGGCATCAATATAGCCAATATCATTTCAGCTTAATGCTACTTTTAGAGCAAAATTTTGGGCATCATATTATTGTTTTGAGGGTAACGCCCAAAGGCCTAATACTCAAATTTTCGAGCATAATGTATCTAACCCTAATCCGAACGATGGATTGATCGCAAACCTACCTGATCCGAGGGGTAAATGGAACTGGCAGGAGAAGCCGCAGCCCAAGTTGAAGGGCCTGAATATAAATAAAATTGGAAAGAAAAAGAAAGAAAGCATGAAAAAAGTAACACTGTGATTTCAAAAAATGGCATCTCTATTATTAATTTATTTGCTGAGCGTCATTTTCTTTAAAACCAACTCGGCGAACTGAGGGAACTTGAAATTTTTACGTAGTCGTATTCTGCTGAATAGGCGTCCGCAACTTCTACGGCGGATTAACCAGTTCCACGCGGAGGTCTAGAAATTGGCAAGGCAAATCACTACCTTCTTCCAGAGTAGTTTTTTGACACTCTCTACACAGGCAGACCACCCTCTGTTAGTGGGGGCCGTTGTTGATTGAAATCTGAGCAACGATCTTTTGTTATTTATAGAAGAAATACATATGAACATTACGGTGGCTATAATTTGTTCCAAAATGTAGAATTTAAAGCAAATGTTTCAATAAAAGTTTGAAGAAAATGTTAACTGAGTCATGTGTCATGCTTTTTTTTTGCCGTCCCGTACTGTTTTAAGCGCTATTTTGCGAGATGAATATGTGACCTCGGCGGTTAGAACTAAAAATAGCGCTTAAAACAGCACGGGACGGCGAAGAAAACATGACACATGACTCAGTTAACATTTTCTTCAAACTTTTATTGAAACATTTGCTTTAAATTCTGCATTTTGGAAAAAATTATAGCCACCGCATTGTTCATATGTATTTCTTCTATAAATAACAAAAGATCGTTGCTCAGATTTCAATCAACAATGGCCCCCACTAATAGAGGGTGGTCTGCCTGTGCTCTTTAAAGCGGCTCTCAGGTGGTATTCAGGCGAAATCGACGACGGGAGGATCTTGTTAGAGATAAAAGCGACGATCGCAATACCACGATTCCCATCAAAGTCGTGCGATGATGGCAAAGAAATCTGCCAAAACGTTTGCTGCAAGTTCAGATTTTTTGTTTTGCTTAGTTGCTCGGCTATTTTTTCTACGCTTTGTGTCGTCATCGTTGTTACTTGAGCTCGCTAAAATTAGCAGCTGGCAGCGTTACCAACGCAAGCGAATTATTATTATATGTTACGATATTACCCTAAAAAACCGACCATTTGATTCAACGCGCGACAAAAACGACGTCCGCAGGTACCCATGGAAAGCCGCTCAAATTTAAGACCCTGGGTGTTGTTGGTCGGCCAGGAAGATGTATTCTTCAACCTCATGCACACACGACAAATAAGATGTGAATGCGACCTACTTTAAACTTTATCGCGCTTATTCCAACTCCTTCATTTCGTCGAATGTTGGCAAATTTTTCTGGAGTTGAATTCTAAAAGACTGTATCGAAGTTCAGGAAAAGAAAAAGAAGTCATTGTCTTGTGTTCACGTCCTCGGCAAAACGTGAAATAAGTCACTTTCACGTTGTAGTCGTGCAGCGACGGAAAAGAAATGTACAAAAAAGCGTCATGCACGTGCAAAGTTGTTTTGCAAATCTAAACCTATTACTTTTTTGCCGTCCTCGTTCCCGTCGCCGTTCTCGTTGCTTAAGCTCGCTATTAATTGTTTAGAACGTCATCAAGTCCAAGCGCCACTGCCTCAAAGTAAATTAAACGGCAAAACGTTTTAATGGCGATTCACTACGAAAGCATAATGTCCTAGTATTCTTACGACATTTGAGAAAGGTTTGCCTACCTTTCCAAAACCAACTTCCGATTTTCATTTCAAGCGTTTAGTTGGTCTATAAATAGCTTTGGTGAAATTCACATATCCCAAGGGCTAGACTAGACGTTTCCCTCCCAGCTCTCTTTCCATTATTCTCTCTTGCGATGACACAGTCTACACGCTAGAAAGAATTTAGGCAACCAGCCTGAGTAGTGCTGTATTCTTCGCTTCAATAGAGAGCGTTAGATTTGAGGAACGAGTACCAGTACGAGTTTTAACTTAAAGTTTTTTGCGCGGGTTCTCAAAAAAAAGACACCCCGAAAGCTTCGTTTTACTTTTTTCAACCAATAAAGTTAAAGCAAATATTTATACTGAAGAAGCCCTCTCCCGATAGCAAGATTATACAACTTCTTACATTTGATAACTTGTCTCCCGCCACTACGGCATTCTCGAAAAAACTCGTAGTAGAATGACGACGACTATCTCCTGACTATCACGTTTTCCCGCAAAAATGACGCTGGTTCACGAGCGAGCAACACTCAGCATTTGAGAAAATCTCGTACTCGTAGTCGTACTTGTCTCAGAATCTAAAGCTCTCTAATACATTATTAAGGAAACACGTGCACCTCGTGCTAAAAAATATATATAGTATCTTTATTTTGTCTTAGTTAAAATGAAACCAAACGAACCTATTCTCTTAAGTTTCTTTCTGAAACATATATAATACATTTTCATAAAACTAAGTAGCGCCAAGCAACGGTCAACGAAATCATTCCATTGAAGGCTTCCAAACAGTATGCAGTAGATAAACAAGATTAAAATAGCTAGAATACTACAAGTACGTAAAATATATGAGATGAAAAGTCTCATCTCAACTGTGCATATAATTTTCCTAAATGACCTACAAAGATAACGTGCAAAAAGACAACCGGACTCCATTTTTTTTAGCGAGCAATGGATTTGCCTTTTTTCTAATTAAGGTGGATTTCCACTGTCTGGTAACTTTTATGTGCGTGCGCACGTAAATTTTATGCGCGTAAACAAAATAGAGGCAATACAGGCGTACAGGTAAAGGTTGAAGACCTAGCTTGCTCAACGTTTGATTATGCGACAGTGGAAATCCACTTTAAGGCAGTGCTTTAACGTGCGTATTAGACAAGAGAAGATTGTACTTCTTCTGACAAGAGAGGATAAAGGGGACAGAGAAGGCATCCCCCATACACACCCTATTACATAGGTAATTCGTCTCGAGTTATTTTTACGACCATAGATCCCAAGGGGGATTAGACAAATGCCAATCACATAGCGCGAATGTGTTCCGCGTGGATGACCCACGCTCAGAGCCAAGCGTCCTTCTCGAATTGACGCAGAAAAAAATGGCGGAAGACGTGGAGAGCGATATTGCTATTTGTTTTGTCGACGAAAACGACTAAAGAGAGATTTCTGCTAAAGCTGTGTCAGCGAAACGGAAATTTAAAAAGAATCGCCCTTCCTCTCTTGTATAGAGCTAACAGTACAGCAGGGAAATCCTTAACACACTGAATATTCTCTCAGGATTATTTATAATTTACAGTTTGAAGAGAGCAATTTCTGGTTTGATATTTATTCTTTTATTAGCCTTTTATTATTCAACAAAAATAACACTTGGCGTCCTACTTGCTTTATTATACAAACGACCAGTTTCAATAGACCGGCGAAATTTCTCACTTTATTAAAGCACTGAGGTTACGACAACTTCGAGTTAAACTGATTTCACGGATTGTCAATGAGTCCAGCGATTCCCTTTTCCCAGGTGAGCGCCGACTCATTTCGCTTCAATATTCAGAAATGCTCTCGATCTCTTTACGCTTTCATTGCCTTTCGCCCGACATGTTTTGCACGGCGTTTAGTCATGCGAAGGGGGGGGGGGGGGGGGGTTAGGAAAAGTTGCCAAGTTTTTTTGGTGGCTTGATATGTTTGATTTTTTTGGATGTTCAAAACAAACCGCTGAGGATTCGTGGTACTTCCCGCGTATCGCGGCCGCGTAGTCCTTCCAATAAAGTACAACCAAACTTGTTAATGCTCGGAAATTCGGCATGTGATATTTTGGGGTTAAGGTTTGGTCCAGCTAGGAATGTTTTGGGTTTTGTTGGAAGCCCTAGGGGTTTTTTGTGTTTTTTTATTTAGTTTCCCCCATTCGATCGATCATCCCCGTCACTTGAATTCCGGAGTACCCTCCCCCCTCCCACCCCTGGGAGTAGGATCATGATGGATAGTGCTTTTAAGTGACACTCAAGCCTGGTTCTCATATGCCGCCGATGCACCTGCGACATGGCCGCCGGTACTTCTTGGGATGAAGTGGCCGGCAACATTGGTCAACCCAGTCTTTATCGCCGGAATGCCTGCTAAGTTGACTCAAGTTCAACTTGGGAGGCATGCCGGCGGTAGAGCTCTACGATGGCTCTTGTTGCCAGCAGCGCATTTTTCATTCGTCCGGGAAGTAGCGCTATATACATAGGCGGCATATGAGAACCAGGCTTGACTTCATCATGGGCGAAGTTTTACAACTGATCAACGACAAAATCACGTGCACGATTAAAGGATTCGTTTGCTTGTTGCATTGTCTTTTGCCGTTAATGAGAACCTTGAAGTCAGTGACGACATTGTCTAGACTCGGGAAATTATTGGGATTTGGACAAAGGCTCTTATCAAAAACTAACCGTAGTCCCAAGCGTAACTCCTACGGCTGCAGGAACAGCGGAACATTTTTTTCAAGTGGGAGATCTAGAGGGGAGGGACGGGACTTGTGACTTAAAGTAGGGAGGCTGAACGGGCTCTCCTCTTTGAAAATATTTCATTTCATTCTAAACAATCTGGGGGGGGGGCAAAGGGCGACTACACCCTCCCCCTCCCTCCTTGAGGTGAACCCCTCCCCTACCTATGCGCGCGTTAAGCACGACTTCATTAGGTTAAGAGTGCACGCGAGCGGTCAAAGTAATGGTCTGGAGCAGGACAGATAACGGTTTGAGGATGAATACGGAGAGTGAGACTGAGAAGAGACGCGCCTTACGGGCGTGCATGAGGCTTACAAGCGCCTTGCTAAACCGATTTTGAGAACTGAACAACCCGACCATTTTGCAGTCTAGACCTCACCCTTCTGCTCGACTTGATTTTTATCATGTAGTAAACGTTTTTCCACAATGTAATAGGATGAAGACAAAAATGAATTCAGTTAGTAATTTTCCGGTTCCTCTACTTTTGCCCCTTACCTTCACGGAACACTTGTTTCAGGCGTTAATTCATCGCCAATTTTCAGCTTTAAAAACTTAAATGATGCTGACGATGACCAAGACAGAACAGAATCATGGGACAGATAGGATATAGGGCGGTGGCCGGGAT